GCCAGGCCCCGCCCCGCGCTCACTTCTCCACGCCCACGAGAATGTAGCCGTCGTGGAAGGAGTGAAACCAGCCCTGCATGAGCAGCGCCCACTGGATGCCGAAGGCCGCCAGCAGGAAGTTGAAGCCCACGGAGCTGTAGCCATAGCGCTGCAGGAAGGTCATGAGGAAGCCGAAGCCCACGAAGATCATCACGTGCACGTCCTGGAAGCCTGCGGGGAGAGGGCAGCCAGGGGAGAGGGCGGCTCCCCGTCTCCACCTTGCCGGGGTGCAGGGCTCTGGGAACTGGGGCCGGGCTGTGGATTGCACCCCAGATCCGGGGCCTTGCCCTCTCCGTCTGTTACTGCGGAGGCCTTGGGCTCACCTGGGCCAGGGGTCCCTGACCCCCCAAGCACACCTGGAGGAAGGAGGCCCGACTTCGCATCTCACCCCCACTCCCCGCAAGCGCAGCTCCCAGCCTCGCCGACAACCTGAATCCGGACCCCACTCCTGCATCTGCCGGGTGGACGACTCTGGACAGTGACTGACCACCCTTGGGCCTCGGCACCTTCTTCTGCAGTGCGTGCAAACGCTGCCCAGATTCCCTGCAGGCGTGTAGGTCAAGCACCTAGCAAAGCGACTGTCCCATCACAGGTGCTCAGGTGTCATTGTTTGTTGTAACTCCAATTCTGAGCTCTGAGCCAACTCCCCTGCCAACGCGCAGTGTGGCCTTGACAAGCCACTTCCCCCTCCATGGTAAAACTAAAGGGAGGGAGCCGGAGTGATCTCAGCTGTCCCCCCAGAACTAACATTGTGTGGTTCTCGGTTTCCGGAAAACAAAGAGCTTTGAGAAGGGAGGGAACCGGAGTGATCTCAGCTGTCCCCCCAGAACTAACATTGTGTGGTTCTCGATTTCCGGAAGGCAAAGAGCTTTGAGAAGCAGAAAATTACAAAAATACACAGCACGGCCGGGCAGATGTGGCTCAGTGGTTGAGCATCGGCCTACGAACCAGGCGATCGCGGTTTGATTCCCGGTCAGGGCACAGGCCCGGGTTGTGGGATGGATCCCCAGCAGGGGGCGAGCAGGAGGCAGCCGATCCATGACTCTCATCATTGATGTTTCTCTCTCTCTCCCTCTCCCATCCTCTCTCTGAAATCAATTTTAAAAAAAATAAAAAGTACCCAGCCCTGAGCTCTGAGCATCTGTGTGGAGACCCGTGCGAGTTTACACCGACAGCAGGTCCGCTTGGGTGTCACAGCGGGTGTGGCTGATTCGTGTCTCACCGTGTTTCGTGGTTTATCACGTTTCCGACTGTTGTGGGGACACGGAGCTAATGCATGGGAGCAGCAAGCTTGGCAGTGGTTATTCTTGGGAAGGAATTCTGCTGGGTGACAGACTGGAGGAGGGGTGTGAAACAGAGGGAGGTGACACATTCAGACTGTAATTCCAGAAGCAGGGAGGGGAGCTGGTGGGATGGCGGAGCTGTTGACAAACACAGGGACTCGGGAAGAGGCTGGGAGGGAGGTGCTGGGTCTAGAGCTGGCCCTGTGGGGGTTTGAGATGACCTGGGGCAGGAGTGGAGGGTGGGGGGCCAGCCGGGCTGCATGGGGGAGTGGAGGCGGGCTGTGCGGGTGGGAGCTGGGGTCTGAGGTGGGGCAGGCCTGCAAATCGAGCTGTGAGTCAGAGAGTAAAAACAATGAGGGGGAGTCAGAATGGGAGACCTGCCTGGGAGGTGGGAGGAACCCTGGGAAAAGGGCAGCCTCACAGAAGGCGGGAGGCCTTTGGAGGAGACGTCGGGTGTCAGCTATCTGGGGGCATGGAGCAACCATGGGGGCAGGAGCGAGGTTAGGAGGACTTGGGGGGGCACCCTGCTGGGGAAGTGTTTGCAGTTTCGGGGCTGCCTTGGTTCTCCCTGTAGCCTGAGAGCAGGAACAGGGAGCCCTCCCCTTCCCAGTGCCTCCCCCGCCTGTCCCCCTGTCGCCTGCCTTTCTCCCTGTCTCTATGGGTACCCTCCTCTCTCTAGGGCTGTCTCTTCTCCCCCGCCCTCAGGCACACAGACACCAGCTCTCCCCCTGCCTTGGGCACCTCCCCAATTCATTCTCTTGCTCCCTTTATCTCCTAAACTGGTCCTAAAGTATAACTAACACGTACCAGTTTATTAATTTATGTTTCATAAAGTTTGCTGCTACCTAAATTGCTTTAAAAATAAATAAATAAATAAATAAATAAATAAATAAATAAATATATATA